TATCAGAAATTCAAAGCAGAAAGGAAATTCTAATCACACTGGCAGGAATTTCCATCATTATTGTATTTGGTCTCCAAAAACCAGAGCACTACAGTACAGGACAGACCTCCCTGTCCTTGTTTGGCCATACTTCTTAAATTTCTTAATGAAACCATTTGATAACTTTCTTTAGTCAGGATTGAGAAGTCAATGCATCACATTCAGAAATGTATTCACAAACCAATGTTTTGAGTTTCATTTTGTTTTCTTCTCCTCTTAGTTGCCTGTGGTCAGCCTCCAGTTGTGGAAAACGCCAAGACCTTTGGAAAGATGAAACCTCGTTATGAGATCAACTCCCTTATTAGATATCACTGCAAAGATGGTTTCATCCAGCGTCATATTCCAACTATCCGGTGTCAAGGGAATGGAAGATGGGATATGCCTAAAATTACTTGCATGAATCGTAAGTTCTTTGAAGGGGAGCCACTTTTTGATCAGAAACAATAAAATCATGAATGCAAGAATTAATAAGCAGTGAATACATATTTTAAGAGAAGAGCAAACTGAAATTCTAGGTGACAGCAATAATGGTCATTTTATCTGTAAAAAATATCAAGCATCCAAAAATAATGAAAATATTAATCTTCAGCTTTTACAATATCTACAACACTCTTAGAAAGTCCCTGAAATCTGTAGGTTCCTAATAACTCTAACAGTGCTTTCTGCAAAGGTGCTCTATGTGTAAGAAATGTTTCCACTATCTGTGACATGGCTATAACACTGGTTACTAGCTTGTTAATGCTCTAGTTAATAATAAATGGAACCTTAGTCTGACGTATAACCATCTTTTAGGTTCGTATAATTTTAAAATATTTTCCTTGTCTCCTCCTCTTTGCAGCGTCCACATACCAAAGGACTTATTCTAAGAAATATTACTATAAACATTCTTCATCAGGAAAAGGAACACCATTAAATTCATCAAAACACTATCATCGCTGGATCAGGATGTGGCAGGACTCAAGGCGCTAAATGTTAAATGGTGAATAGGGATTTCCACCATTTCAGCCAAAGTCCTAACTTTCTGTGCCTTTTCTATCACTTATGGGGGTATTATCAAATTGTTTTGAAACTACAGACTCCGGTATTCACAATGCATTTTGCAAAAACATGGTATCAGAAAATTCAAATAAAAAATTAAAAATATATATAGCAGAGGAGTGCTTGTGAGGAGGAGAGGAAACCATTTCCAGCCTATATGGACTATTAATTTCCTATATGCCATCAGTGTGGGCAATTTTATGATGTATACCAACCTACTGCAATATTTAAACAGCTCAATTTTAGCAGCAATGAAAATGTAAATAAGATTATTTTAATTGTTCAGTTGTGTGTTGTTTTTAAAATCCTGTATATAAAATCAAAAGTCACACTAAGTTCAGGCATATTTATGTTTAGAATGGCCTCAGAGGTCTTCTGTCGTTTATGACATTGTTTCTGTGTCATTCACCTAGGCCGGAAATGGTTGAAAAAACTGCATTGATTGAGATTTGCTATTACCAGATGAAGATAAACACACAAATTACATTACTTTTTTTTTTTTTTTTTTAATGGGATCTGTGCCATTTACCATCCAAGGTACAGTTTGTGTCAATGTGATGCGAAGTTTAGACATAGCACATACATAAAGTGGGATGAAGCACGAACTAGGGGCTGCAATGTGGAACTTTGCTCTCCATTCCAGCTTCATCTCTCATGAAAAAGGACTGCATGGAGGACTTGTATATGACAAGGAGGACCTGTAAAAATCCAAGTGCGAATACATTAACTTTATCAACCAAGGTCACTTTTTTTGAAAAAAAGAAAAAAAAAAGACAACTTTCACAACATTACAACATTAACCACGAGGTCTGTATTACAGGTCTCTGCATTCTAAAATAGAGCTAGACCTAGTGTTTGAGGATTTTTTTTTTTTTTGTAAAAAAGCAAAAATCAAAAAAAGTAAATAATTTTATATATAACCTTTTTTAGTCTTTTTATAAAGTAATGAATGTTTGTGTATGAATGCTGCAGCTGTGAAGCATACATAAATAAAGTAAGCCATGCTGATTTAATTTATTGGATGTTATTTTACCCAAGCAAAGAAGATTAAAAGAGCTTACCAGTGCCATATTAGCCCCTGAACTCCACTTTTGGAACCATCTTTCAGTTCAACCACTGTTTCCCTGGAGAACAAAATTCCTACTAAACAGGATCATTTGTTTGAGATTAGATGGGTGAGAACTGTGTGATTTGCAGAAGAATCAGGATCTTGGCTTTCTATAAAGAAGTGTGTGCACAAAGAGATTATAGATTGTAGTTGGTGAAGTGTGTACGTGGGAGTTTTCTATTATGATTTTTTTCCCCTGATCAGCTTGATAACTGATCTGGGTTTGTACAGTAAGTATAAAAGGTAACATTTAAAATAACCTCTCCACAGAAAGGACTGTGTACGGTTATTTCTGTAAAGTGCCTTCCACACCTTTGGGCACAGGAAAAAAATATTAAAAAACAGAAACAGTAAGTTTCCTATGATATACCTTTTAAAATATTGTTACAAACATAGATGGGAGGTTTATGCCTTTGTGTTAATGTGGGGAAATGATGCCAAAAGTTGAAAAGGAAAGGAAAAGAATTGGAAACCCTGCCAACATGCAAGAGCTCATACTAGGTAGAGCTGCTCGTAAAGTAATCTTGCCGTAGCTCACCAGGTACAGAGATTACAGTTCCTGACCAACATCTCTCAAGACACTCCAGTGACCGTTCCATCAAGTATATCCTGATTTTTGTGCGTTCTCCAAGGCAAAACGTCGCTGGGTTGGCTGGTTTGTTCCCCACCCCCTAAACAATGCACATAATACTTTATTTATATCTTGTGTAGTGAATGTGAATGTCTGTTATTTTGTGAATGAAAGTCTAAAATCTTTGTAACTTTTATATCTGCTTCTGTTTCACCAAAGAAACAAGGTTTTGCTATACTGTGACTTGTCTTGTTATTGCATGTCTTCCTGTTTAAATCTATGCAATGTGATTTTTTCATATGAATACAATTAGATCATCATGGATGAGCAACTGTCAGGTACTTCACAGTTGTTATGGGCTGGAGTCAAAGAGAATCAGCTGAACTTTAATAGGTGCTGGGTTTGACTTCATACAAGAAACTGTAAG